TTGATTGATCTGAATTCCTAGAAAGAATTTCAGTTCCCCCATGAGGCTCATCTCAAATTCTGCCTGCATACACTTAGCAAATTTTCTTCCAAGAGAAGGATTAGTAGAACCAAAAATGATATCATCAACATAAATTTGACAGACTAAGATGTCACTCTTAACTGTTTTACAGAATAGAGTAGTGTCCACTTTCCCTCTGGTGAATTCATTTTCAAGCAGAAAGTTACTTAGCCTTTCATACCAAGCTCTGGGAGCTTGTTTCAGACCATACAGTGACTTCTTTAGTTTGAAAACATGTTCTGGATGTTTTGTATTTTCAAAACCTGGGGGTTGGTGAACATAAACTTCTTCTTCTATATAACCATTTAAGAATGCACTTTTGACATCCATCTGATACAGAGTGATGCCTCTATTAATAGCAAATGAAATTAAAAGTCTGATAGATTCTAACCTGGCGACTGGGGCAAAGGTTTCTGTATAGTCTATCCCCTCTTGCTGACTATAACCTTGTGCAACCAGTCGTGCCTTGTTTCTGATGACTTCACCTTGTTCATTTAGCTTGTTTCTGAACACCCATCTTGTTCCAATGACGTTGAATCCTTTTGGTCTGGGAACGAGATCCCATACGTCGTTTCTGGTGAATTGATTCAGCTCTTCTTGCATTGCCAGAATCCAGTCATTGTCCAGAAGTGCTTCATCAATAGAAGAAGGTTCAATCAGAGACACAAGTCCCATAAGAGTTTCTTCAGAGTTTCTGAGGCTTGCTCTTGTTCTGATTGGATCTTCCTTTCTTCCTAGGATAGTCTCTTCTGGGTGATCCAAACTGCTTCTGGGTAATCTCTTCTGAGGTTGATCAGCAGCTGTTGTAGGATTTCTAGCAGTGCTCCTTTCAGACGTTGAAGGAATGTCTGTGTTGAGAGCTTCTGATGACTTGTCTTCAGAACCTGCAAATTCAATTTCTATACCTACAGTTCCAGAGCCAATTATCTTTCCCCTCTGATTGCCTCCAAAGCCAACGTGGCCTCCAGGCTTAAGTTCCAGGCTTTGGAACATATGCCTTCTTCCCGTCATGTGTCGTGAGCAGCCAGAGTCCAGGTACCATGACTGGTGTTTCTGACTTGCTGCTAAAGATATCTGCAACATGTATTATTTTATCCTTAGGTTCCCAGATTTTCTTGGGTCCTGATTTGTTAGTTTTACCAAAACTCTGGTTGAATTTTGGTTTCACAGAGTGCTTACTGCTAGTATATTTGATGTCATGTGTGTGACCATACACAAAGTGTGAATTTAGAGGAGTGTGTTTAATGGTTAAGTCCATGACATTCTTTGGAGTAGGAACCTTACCTTGGTATCCTATTCCTTTCCTGCCGTTTCTGCTAACTCCATAGATCATTGAAGCCATTCTGCTTCTATCTATGCTTTTAGCAAGGAACTTCTGGAAACTGTGATCATACTCCTTGATGATCTCATCAGCGTTGCTGGAAGTTTCAGAAATTGGTTCCTTCTGAGAGTTTTGTAAAGTGTTTTCTAATTTTGAAATTTTATCTCTCAGCTCAGAATTTTCCAATTTGAGACTCTCAGACTTATTAGAGTCAGATTCAAGATTCCTTTTCAGGTCTCTGAATTTAGCTCTAATCTGCTGATAACGTTCCAGAATTTCATTGAGGCTTTCAGCAAGTTCAGCCTTTGTAAAGTTAACAGCGAAGTTAGGAAATACCTCTTCTGTGTCTGATTCTGAGTCTGATTCAGAAGCTTCACTATCTTCTGAAATGTTTGCCATGAGAGCTATGTTTGCCCTTTCATCATCTGATTCTGAGTCAGCTTCAGACGAGTCAGAGTCATCCCATGTAGCCATGAGACTTTTCTTCTTCTCTCTTCCAAACTTCTTTTTGGGCTTTTCCCTCTGAAGCTTTGGGCAGTCACTCTTGTAGTGTCCTTGCTCATTGCACTCGTAGCAGATGATGTCTTTGGTGTTTGGCTTCTTGCTACTGGAGGAGCCTTCAGATCTTCTGTATCCAGAGGAAGAATCTGTTCTTCTGTATCTGGAAGAAGACTCGTTCTGATCAGATCTTCTGGGATTCCTGAACTTCCTTTGTCTTTGCTTCCATAGTTGATTTACTCTTCTGGAGAGAAGGGAGAGTTCGTCTTCTTCTGATGAGGATCTATCAGATGTTTCTTCAACTGCCTGCAAAACTTTAGACTCAGATTTTCTGTTAGATTTTAATGCTAAAGGCTTACCTTGCTTCTGAGGCTCATCAGCTTCTAGCTCTATCTCATGACTTCTGAGGGAGCTTATAAGTTCCTCCAGAGTGATTTTGTTGAGATCTTTAGCTAGCTTCAGAGCAGTAACCATAGGCCTCCACTGCTTGGGTAAACTTCTGATGATTTTCTTGACATGGTCAGCAGTAGAGTATCCTTTGTCCAGAACTTTGAGACCAGCTACCAGAATCTGGAATCTAGAGAACACAGTTTCAATGGATTCAGATTCTTCCATTTTGAATGCCTCATACTTCTGAATGAGCGCCAAAGCTTTTGTTTCTTTGACCTGAACGTTGCCCTCATGCGTCATTCTGAGAGAATCAAAGATGTTCTTTGTTGTGTCTCTGTTGGAGATCTTTTCATACTCAGTATAGGAAATGGCACTGAGGAGGATGGTTCTGGCCTTGTGGTGATTCTTGAAATCACGCTTTTGTTGATCAGTCATTGATTTTCTATCAATCTTCTGACCACTTGCATTCACAGGGTGCGTGTATCCATCTGTCACCATATCCCACAGATCAGCATCATGTGCTAGAAAGAAGCTTTCAATTCTGTCTTTCCAGTAATCAAAGTTTTCTCCATCAAAGACTGGAGGTTTGCCACTGAATCTGTCTCTGTCCTCGTTATTGTCATTGCTGAAGTGAGAATTGTTTCCTGCCATTGTGTTTTTCTGACGCTGGATCTTGTACTGACACGGTTAAGTGTTTTAGCTCAGAACCAGGCGCTCTGATGCCAATTGAAGGGGTGAAAAACACAAGAAGGGGGGGTTGAATTGTAAAACTGAAATCTAAAGCAATTGACAAGATATTTTTATCCTGGTTCGTTTGATCTCAAACTACTCCAGTCCACCCGTCAAGGTGATTTCGCCTCTCTCCAACGAGGTCTTAATTCACTATATTCAACTGAATATTACAGATTGCTTTAACAACTGCTAAAGCCTTCTTGATTCAAACCACAACCCGGTTTGTCAAGGCAACACTTTCTTACAAAGGTATAAAACAATGTGTGTGAATGTTTTCTACAAAACTTTATCACAACTGTGATATATACACAAAATGAAGCTTAGAAACTAGATTGCTAAACAATAATGAATATCAGAGTATGAGGTTTAGCAAAACTGGTAGAATGAAGATTATGGTTCAGCTTTGTGCGTGTAGAGATTTTGAGAGCATTAGCCATTATAATCTTCAAAGCCTTGTTTATATAGCACTTGAAAAGATGAACGTTGAATGCAATATTCTTGATTCAATGCTAATAACAAGCTTTCCTTTTTGAGCAGATCTTGTCTAGAATGAGGCCGTTGGAATTAATTAGCTTTCAATGCACAGTACCGTTGCTTCTTTAACGCAAGTTCTGGCTTGGCTCATTCTGATTCTGCTTCGCTGCTGATGAACTAATGTGTTTCTGTATCAGAGTGTTTGAGCGCAGTCTTGTTCATCAAGCTTCAGCATGTACGAGAGTTGATCATCTGATCTTGACGTTCTGATGTAGCAATTTCTGATGCTGGTGTATGAAATCAAATTCTGATGCTGAATAAACGTGATCTTGCTTATACCAATCAGAGTATCTGCAAGTCAGAACATAATAATTTTAGGCAGCAGATAGTTCAAACATGAAACATATAAATACTATATCTTTTCACTTTGTTATCATCAAAACTTAAATATAGGGTAGTAGATTCAAACATTGTTCTAACACATGGCATACCTGGTTGATGGGCTTACAAGCTCTTATGATACCTTGAGATGCATAATCATGGGCCAAGTTCAAAGATACGAGGATAAGATCTGTTGACTTCAGTTAAAGTAAGCTTTGAACAATTAACTTTGGGGCCAAGGTCTCTCTTGGATTTTCATTTAATATGTGTTGGGAATTCGAGTTGCATTTGAAGAATAGTATGGTAAAGGAAAATAAATATTGGTTCAGAAAAGGAAGATTTCATTAAAAATAAGGGTTTCACATCAAGGGAATTCTTCTGTGATTCAGACTTTATCATCCATCTGATCAAGATCTTATTGACTATTCAAATTATTTGTCATTTCAAGTTGATTTGGGTTTAAGATTGAAGTTAGGAGTTCATTGAGAATGCAAGTGTGATTTGGATTTGAAGTTTGATTTGAGTTCAAGATGTTCGAAAGTGTTTGGTTGGATTAAAGTCGGCAAAGAGCCTTAAGTATTGGTCATATGGTTTTCTTGGAAGGTAAAGTACAAACTGCGAGGTTTTGTTTCAAGTTGGAGTTCATACGCATTACAAAGATGTTCATCGTTATTCCAGATTCAAGTTCACATGTGTTCAAAGTTTGTTCGAACCCTTTCGTTCATGATTCAAAAAAATACTATCCAATTCCATTCAATTTCATTCAAGTGTAACAATACCTTACAAGAAAATTTGATGCTTTCATGTCTTCAAGCATTTTTTCAAGACTTTTGTCATTTAAACCCCGTCCTTAAAATTCATCACCTAACATTTCAAGCTCAAGGGTCATTTACAATTCACACTATAAATTTCAAGTTCATCCGAACCAAACATTCATTATAAAATCACTACAATCCCATTACACCAATTTCCGCATGATTTAAGGGTTCTTATAGTGGATCGTGACACAATTACTCTGAATTCCATTATGGAGATGTGCATTCGATGCAATTATCTAGTTACAACATGCTGTAATGCATCTTTTGCATTGAACTTTTTGAAAAAAATAAAGAATCTTTATGACGTGATCCTAATTGAAGCTCAAATGCCTGACATGAATTCCTACCATTTTTTGCAACATGTTACACAGCAAATCAAAATTCCAGTCATTATGATGTGTGTTGATCAATCAATAACGCCAAGTCTAATGATGAAGGCGATTGAAAAAGGCGCTTGTGGATTTTGGATTAAGCCTTTGAGTGAAGGTCAAATCAATAACATATGGCAACATGTTGTAAGAAAATTTTTGAAAGAAAACAATCAGCATGATCAAGTTCTTGAAATCTTGAATGTAAAAGATTTGAAAAAAGGGAAAAAGATGATTATGCACCTACTTCTTCTTGTGATGATAATATTAACTATCAGCCTTCAACAAAGAGGAGTCGTTTTTCATGGTCACAAAAATTGCATAAAAAAATTCTTATGCACTGTGAATCAACTTGGCATTCACGAAGCAAAGGCAAAAAAAAAAGTTATGAAACTCATGAATGTCCCTGGTTTGACAATACAGCAAGTTGCTAGTCATCTACAAAAATTTAAACTTCGTTTGAAAAGAGCAACTAAGAGGTATTTCCCTTGAAGCTCAATTTGTCCTTAACAAATATGATGCCAAATTGAATCATAAGCCAATTCTCATCTACATTTGTAAGTACTGGACTCGACATGTTGTTAGTAAGAAGATAGATGGTATCAGAAACAAAATTGAAGATGCTTCTAGGAGAAGAAAAGCATATGGTTTAGTGCAAATTCAAAGCCGAGTCGTATCTAAGATTCAAATATTACGTGCACGGATGCAACCGTATCTCGCTGCCAAGAAATCCAATGTGGTTGGATTTGATAATGACACACAAGTTCTGATGACGGAGTTACTGTCGGACGAGAAATGCCGCTGCATTACTTGGATTGTTGGAGTCGGAGGCACAGGTAAGACAACACTAGCCAATTTGATATTTGAAGACAACACTGTTGTAGCTCATTTTCAGCGTCGCGTATGGGTGTCACTGCCTTCAAATTGTATGACAGACCAGTTTGTTGCAGAAATTGGCAAGGAGACCGCTAAGAAAATTACAGTAGAAGAAGAAAACATGCCCACTGATTACGTACTCACAACCTTGGCACACTCAAAGTACCTTATAGTTGTTGATGGCCTTAAAGAAACATCCAAAGTATACTTGGATACCTTGAACAGGGTCATACCTGATATGTTAACAGGAAGGAAAGTTCTTTTTACTACTCGCAATGCAACAGTAGCCCAACATGCAGCAGGTAGAATCATTCTTCACCCATTACAGTTATTAGATGATGAAACTAGTTGGCTGTTGTTCACAAGACATTTGAAGGTCCCCAAGTCAGAAACAAAACTTATCAAGGTTGGAAAAGAAATTGTGATGAAATGTGGGGGACTGCCATCACAAATACTGAAAATAAGTGATTTGCTTTCACATAAAGATGTTACACATGAGGAAACTCTTAACCCATCCACGGTTCAGCCCTGCATAGAAAGATTAAAAAGCAAAAGTCAATAAACAATTAACAGTTCAGTTCTAAGAAATTGTAACAAAGCTGAATTCTAACCATTCCAAAACAGATTACTAACAGAATTCCTCTTAAACTAACTTGTAACCATAACAAACTTCTAACCAAAGTTTCTAACAGAATGCCAACTTTTCTAACTAACTCTATAATTCCAATAACTAACTTCCTCATAACAGAATTTTGACAACTAATTTTAACTAATTCCATAATAGAATTTTATAACCAAACTCCTAACAGCTCTACAGTATAAGATAGAGTAAATTCACCTTGGTTGAGGGGGTTTTTTTTCCAGAAATTCCACAGAAGAAGGTGTCTCATCTTCATCCACAAAAAACTCCAGAAAAATTCTCGATCCCTTTCTCTCTGAAAATCGCTTCAGTCATCATCTTCATCTCCCTTCAATCCTCATCATCACTTGAATCTTCACAATTCTTCAATCGCGATGATCTTCACCATAACTTCACCTCCTTAATCCTCATCACAGAACCATGAACACCATCAACTTCATTACCCCTGCTTCAAACAACAACAACACGTTGTGGCAGCGTTTATGCATCAAATTAGAATTCATTACTAAAAAAAAAAGATCATAGAAAAAGCTTGAAGGCTTACCTTTATTTTTCTCTTCAAATTGCTGAGCCTTTTTTTATTGCTTCAAGCTTCAGACTGATTCATCTTTGTGTAAATTGTCTTCTTCACATCATTATCATTTTCTATGTTCATCAGCATTTAGCAAACCGCAAAAACCGCATCTACACCTTCTTCTATCTTCATCAACCTGCGTTCATCTTCAACAGTAACAATCATCACCACTCAAGAACAATAACATATAGTTCAAAATGCAAGTTACCACAATAAATCGCAAGAAATCAACAACAATTTACAGAATCGGTAGAAGAGAAGGGAGAGATTCAGCATCATGGATTCATATAGAAAAAATCTCAGAAGTGATTCATTATATACAAACTCATAGAAAATTCTCAGAAGAAAACTCACCAAGAAAACCAGCAATCTCTTTCTTCTTCAACCGGCCGCATCATTCTCCAAGAACCTTGATCGATTGCCAGAATCGCTTTCAATCCTCATCTTCGAAAATCTCCCATTGTCATCAATTCTCCAACGGAATCCTTAACCGGCATCTCAAGCTTCATCATCTTCATTCATTCACTCTGCGTTTTTTCAACTACTTCGCAACATCACCTTCACGCTACTACAACAGAATAACAACAACTCAAGAACACACACAGAAACTCCAAGAATCGAAACAAAAAGGAAAGAGCGAGGAATAAACGGAATAAACATGTACCCTAAGTGAATTGATCAAATTCGATTTCAACGCTGCACCACAAATCTAAAGTCTTCAATCAGGTTCAGTTCGCGTTTGTTCTTGATTCAATCATATACACGTCGTCTTCTCTGAATTACAAGTCTGCCTTTGAAGTGTAAATCTGTGAGCTTCTTTGTACTAAAGATTCTGCACCCGTCATTCGATCCATTCTTCCGCACCTGCTTCATGAGAGATTCGCGGTAGGTATAGGTTTGGGAAGCAACTTCCGATAGCTTTAATGTTGAGATCTTTGAGTGTCATCAGGCATCGACAATTTCGTTCAAATCATGTGAAGAGAGTTGAATCCATGGTTAATTTGAAGGAAAGTTGAGTTTCTTAACGGTGACAGAGTAAAAGAAGCTGAGTTGAGTATGTGAGTGTGGGAAGATCGGAGAAGGTGAAACAAGATGCATCGCGTATGAGGTTAAGATGATATACGAGGAAGGATAAATGGCTGAGGCTCTTGAGATTAAGGTAGAGAAGACGGAGCAGTCACGACGGTGGCATGAGCAAGGGTGGTCGGAGAGGATAATATTGTCGCGGCGCGTTTTGTTTTTAGAGAAGATGGAGAATTTTGTTGAAGAAATTCATTAGTCACAACGAACAAACCCTAATTCCTCTTTCATTCTAATTTATTTATTTTTTTAATTCTATTCAATAAATATTAATAATAATATAATTGGTGCTTAAAATTGATAGAATATGGAGTGGATGATTATATGGATCAGGGACCGAATTTCACTACCATGGGGCCCGTTCCGTGTATTTGGTATATCATAAGACTTGAAACAAAATCTCTTTTTAGATCTTCATTCGGTGGGCCTAGCACTTAGATTTTGCTTGCTGCATACCACCAACTACAGTTTTGCACCATGCAGAAACTTCACTTCTTATCCTCGTTTCAATTTAATTTTATAAGGGTGGTGCTTGATTATTAATGGATTGTGTGATAATTTTGTTGAAGATTTTCAAGAGGTTGCAAATTATTTAAGAGTCTAATCTTCACCAAAGAAACTCAAGGAGGTTTAGGTAGAGTCTTCTTATTGCTTGCATGATTTCGAAGAGGCAACAGACCTTCTCTGTTCGGTATCATCGTAACTCCATTTTATTCCTCATTTTCGCACTTTATTGCTTATTAGTTTTTACGTTATCCTTGTAAATACCATGATCCCTTAGGATATTTAGGTTCAAATTTAATCTTCGATTTAATTGAACTAAACTGGACATTAGGATTCTACAGCTATGTATGCTAACATTAGGTAGAATTCTCTCAAAATTCCAAATCTTAGGACCACCAGCGCATGATAAATTTAGGTTTATAAATAGGCTAGTCTTCATGCGACTTTCTTTCCTCCTTTGCATATGCATTTAAAACAAAAATTTCTCTTTTTTTTACAAAACTTCAAAATACTAAAAATTTACTGATGAGAATCATATCTTCGTTAAGTATGTGAGATGATAAGCGGGTCTCTTCTCGACCTTATTGATCTCTTATTCTAAGCTTTGGTATGGTTCATGTCTCAGAGACTCATTTCATGAATAAGCAGAGAAATGGCTAAAATCTCTCTCTTGAGGTCAATTAGTTGTTACCTACAAGCAAAAACACCGACAAATACAAACTCTTTTTGCCTCCGGGCCTTCCTTTCAAACCTTTTCAGAGAGAGCATATTAATTCACTTATGTGCTGACGTGTAAATCTCCAAAAGTCGAGTTGCGGCAGAAGGCTAAATTAATATCGCTCATTAAAAACCTAAACCAAATTCAAACTTTTGTGCGCCCAAGCACATTTTCTCCAAATCTTTTCAAAAGAGCATGTTAATTCACTTCTGTGCTGACGCGTAAATCTCCAAAGGTCGAGTTGCGGCAGAAGGTGAAATTAATACTGTTCAGTAAAAAAATACAAACAAACAAAAACATATAAGCCGAACTACGGCTGCTCTGATTCCTTAAGAGGGATACGTAGGCATCGGGGTAGGGCCCGAACGAGCACAATTTTATTTTCCCTACATTCTTTTCTCCTTATTTCGCATGCATTTTCCCTTTAGTAGTATAATAAACAGTAAGCGTAGATTAGACACACCCATAAGATAGACAACAAGAGTGGATACCGTAGAGTACTACGGGCGTGTGGGGTGCTAATACCTTCCCCTCGCGTAACAGACTCCCTTACCCTTATCTCTTGGTCGTTCGACCTCGATTTCACCCTTCTTATGTTTACTCGATGTTTACCTTTCCCTCCATGTGGGATAAAAGACGTTCGATGGCGACTTCATTGTTTTGATGATTTTCAGCCGGTTGTTTCACCATGGTAGCTTTATTTCACGACATGATACATCACGAAATAGAGGTCTATGTGGACGATATGATAGCCAGATCTCAAACTGGGGAGTAACATCTTGATCATTTGTAGAAACTATTTGAGAGACTGAAGAAATACAAGCTGAGGTTGAACCCGAATAAATGCACATTTGGGGTGAGGTCCGGTAAACTCCTAGGATTTTTCGTCAGCGATAAAGGTATCGAAGTGGATCATGCCAAGGTGAAAGAAATACAAGAAATGCTTGCTCCTCGCACCAAAAAGGAAGTCAGAGGATTCTTAGGACGGCTAAACTACATTGCCCGATTCACTTATCACTTGACCGCTACTTGTGAACCAATCTTCAAATTACTGAAGAAAGATCAAGTAATCAAATGGAATGATGAGTGCCAAGCTATCTTCGACAAGATCAAAGAGTACCTATAAGAGCCTCTTGTTTTGATTCCACCAGTCGAGGGAAGACCATTGATCATGTATCTAACTGTTTTGGAAAATTCAATGGGGTGTGTGCTGGAGCAGCATGACGAGTCTAGCCGAAAATAGCATGTTATTTATTACCTGAGCAAAAAGTTTACCAACTGTGAAACAAGATATTCACTTCTCGAGAAAACTTTTTGCGCTCTGGCATGGGCTGCTCGCCGGCTAAGACAGTATATGCTGACCCATACTACCTTATTGATATCCATGATGGATCTAATAAAATACATATTCAAGAAACCTGCCCTCTCTGGGAGAATAGCGAGATGGAAGATGATCTTGACGGAATATGACATTCATTACACTACCCAGAAATCAATAAAGGGCAGTGTGCTAGCCGATCACCTTGCTCATCAAGTTGTGGATGACTACCAGTCCATGAAGTTCGAATTCCCAGATGAAGACATCATGATGGTAAACAACTGTGAAGAATTCATACCATATGATGGACCTGAACAAGGATCCCGATGGACCCTGGTTTTTGATGGGGCGTCTAATGCACTCGGCAATGGTATCGGTGTTGTAATATCTCCAGAAGGATGTCATACTCCTTTTACTGCAAGACTTTGTTTTAACTGTACAAATAACATGGCAGAGTACGAAGCGTGCATTTTTGGTCTCAAAGATGCCATAGATTTGGGGATCAAGTCCTTAAGTGTATTCGGAGATTCAGCTTTGGTCATCATCCAGATAAAAGGAGAATGGGATACGAAACACCTTAACCTCATCCCTTACAAAGAACGTGTGTTGACATTAATCCCACATTTTGAGAGGATTACCTTCGAGCATTTCCGGCGAGAGGAAAATCAACAAGCTGACGTGCTAGCCACAATGTCATCCATGTTTAAACTCAAATGGGGTAACGAGGC